ATACAAAACGATGTATAGTTCCGTAGTCTATTTCAGAGCTTCTCAGGTTTCATGTTAAAGAACTGGTGATTTCGAAAATTGTCACGAGATTCGCAGTTTTCTCACGAAACCGTAAATGCAGTTTCTTATATTGATGGTAAGTTTCAGATATTTCCTACGACATAGTACATGATTCTAAGTGCAATCAGAAGTTTCTTTCTTGTATTCAAGAAATCATCCATGTTAGATTCGATTTAATATTTATTCAAGAGTATTTTTTAGTAGTTTAAATAACGCGAGAAGACTTTACAAGAATACGAGAACGTCCATGAAGAGACAAGTTTACATCCATCTGAAGAATAATTCAGAAAGAAAAATAAACCGCAAAATGATTTGCTTAAAAAGACAAAAGATAAAAGCCACTTCAGAAGTGTTAGAAACAACTAATATAATATGTAGAATCAAGCAAGGAGAAGGTCAACAGTTAAAGAAATAAAAAGTATCATGCTGATTAGATTAAATAAGTAGATATTTAAATATTGAATTTGGAAATAATCAGAGTGATATTACACGCCTAGTAGAAAGATGCGAAAGAAAGCATAGATTATATACTTCGTTCAGATTGTGGTACTACCTACAGTAAAATTTTCTCAAAATGAAGAATAAATATCATATTGAATAAAAATACTTCAAAGCAGTAAATTGAGTATCAGTCGATTTAAACATTCGTTACTTTATTATGCTTTCGTATTTTCGCTTTATATCAATCTATGATAAACATACGAAAACTGTTATTTTTCTTTCTGAACTATATTTCGACACAATTCATTTTTCAAAAAGATGTCGGTAGTTTCCATCAAATTTTTATATTAGATAAATAACCAATTGATTATAAGTCCAGTATTTATCGTTTAACATTTATTCTTTATAGTTATGGATTTAATTTCAATTTCAATTATAAAACTTTGCCTCTCATCAATGTAACTAAACTGATTATGATTACTGATTTCGTCTTTTCATGCGTTCAATTTACTCGAGGAAATATCTCATTAGTTGGAAACAAGAAAGAACACATTGTTTTAAAAAAATGATGAATTAAGTGAAAAAAACTCAATTATAATATTTTTCAGATCAATTGTTGAAGTTTATGCTAATTGTCGTTTTCCATTAATTATATATTTTCTTCTCATTTATTAAATCGTAAGTAAAGATGTTTTACCTTAAATAGTAAATTAAATTTATATTATTTTAAAAAATTCATTATTTTAATTGAAGATTTATTGTAATTTTTTTTTTAGGTCAACTTCATAGAAATTAAATTTATATTAGTTGGTAAATCGTTCATCTTCTTGTTGTTGATTAAATCTCGTACGATTTTTTAGCTTAAATAGCAAATAGGATGTTTATTGTTTTAAAAAATCAATTTTTTAATTATAGGTTTAGCTGCAATCTTTTTTCCTAGATCAAACTTAATACGAATTAACATTGACTATTGTTGTTTGTAACTGTTGATCTCGTCGTGTATTGAATCTCGTAAGTAGAGATGTTTTAGCTTAAATAATAAATGAAATGTTTATTATTTTAAAAAATGATTATTTTAATTGAAGATTTATCTACAATTTTTTTTAGATCAACTGAATACGAATTAATATTGGCTATTGTTTTGGTAAATCGTTCATCTTGTTCGCATTTATTAAATATCGTAAGATTCTTTAGCTTAAATAACAAATGGAACGTTTATTATTTTAAAAAATGACTATTTTAATTTTAGGTTTAGCTTCAATCGTTTTTCTAGGTCACCTTTATACAGATCAACATTGGCTATTGTTTCGGTAGATCGTCCATCTTGCCGTGTATTAAATCTCGTAAGTAAAGATGTTTTAGCTTAAATAGTAAATTAAATATTTATTATTTTAAAAAAATAATTATTTTAAATGAACATTTATCTGCAATTTTTTTTCTAGGTCACCTTTATACAGTTTAACATTGGCTATTGTTTCGGTCAATCGTCCATCTTGTCGTGTATTAAATCTCGTAAGCAAAGATGTTTTAACTTAAATAATAAAGAAAACATCTATTTTTTTAAAAAAACATTATTATTATATCAAAGACTGAATATTTATTGTTTTTAGGTTAATCTTTCAAGTTTATATTGATTTTTGTGATCCATTGATTGTTTATATTCTCATCATTTAATATATCTAGTAAGTAAATATTCCTTTAATTATAAAACGAATTGACTTGTCTATTTCGTAAAAAGTTATTATTTTAATTGAACATTTAGGTCTTATTTGTCCAGATCAATTTATTCAACTTGGTATTGGTTGTTGTTCGTTATAAATCGTTCTCCTTGTTGTGGTTTATTAAATCTAGTAAGTTAAATAAAACATATGTCTACTTTTCGAAAAATATGATCATTTTAACTAATGATACAATGTTTACTTATTTAGATCAACGTATTCAACTTTATGTTAATTGTTTTTTTTTCTTTAATTGTTGATCTTGGCATTTATTATACTTAACAAGTGAATATTTATTAAATTAGAATAAATAAAAGTATTTGATATACTAAAATATTTTATTTATTTGAAATATAAATATTGTTGATTTTTTAGAAGCGATTGTTTCAAATGGAGAATTTATCAGCTACTCATGTTATTTCTTGGCTTCAAACATTTGTTTCTGACGAAACTATCATTCGTTATTTTCGAGGTAAAATTCGCTTTTAGTCATTTATTATTGTTTCACAGCTTATCGCAATCGTAATATACTTGTTTTCATTTAATTAATGACGTATTACTGTTGATAAAGTAACTGCATCATTATGTATTTTTACAAAACATTAAAGTAAAGAATACCATTTTTTTAATTCAAAAACTGATTATGAAGAAAAGCTCGATTTTAAAAGATGTGTTTTGAATGTGAGAAAAAATATATCACAGTAATAAAAGAAAGTAAAAAAATTAATTATTTGTTAAAATGAAACGCTGGTATCTTAGAAATAGGTTCGAAACATAGTTTAATAATTTTCTTTAAGAAAGATTATAATATATTGTTCGAAAATTTTTAGTTAAATAATTTTACGTCATCATATTCATCTAAGTCGTTAAAGTATTTCGAAGTTTCGAATCATCAACATGTCGCAACTACATTACTTTTGTCCGCTTTGCGAATCTCCAAAAGTTTTTCAACACTATCCTAAATTATTCGCTCATATTCGCGATGAGCATCGTGAAGAATCACCTTTTAGCATCCGATGTGAATTAGGTATGATGTGTGGATCTCGTTATTCATCTTTTGATAGTTACCGAATTCATATTTATCGCTGCCATCGCTCTCTTCTCGATTCGCTTCACAACAATGATACTATATCACCTGATGATATTTCTGATAGTATCGAAGATTTATTTTCTGATCTTACATTTGATGATACATTACAATGTGCTGGTGATCCTGATTCATCTATTTATCCAGATGAAGAAATTGATGAATTAGATCGTTTATTTTCTTCGTTTGATTCTGTTTCATCTTCTTCTACCGATCAACAGCTCAGTTTCGATAAACTTGCTCAATTTTATACCTATTTTCTCCTTGAACTTCGAGAACATCATCTTCTCCCACAGAAGGTCGTACAATTGATTTCATCTAACATCTGTAAATTATTTGACATGATTATCAAATTAATCAAAACAAAAGCACCATCAACAACATCACTTCTCTCGGTCACTGCTTATGAAAATGCTTTTGCGCACATCACTTCGATGATCAATTCCATTAGTAAAAATGAATATCAATTTTTGAAACGATGTAAGAAACACTTCAGTTATGAACCTCCAGTTGAAATTATATTAGATCAACCTAATGAACACGCGTATTATATTCCTTTGAAAAAAAGTTTATCTTATACACTTCAAGATGGTCAACTTCTACAGGCTATTATCGATAATATAAATTCGTTATCAAATCGTGCTGCGCAAGATAAAGACCTAGTTTTATCTAATCGACAAGGTCATTTCGTAAAAACAAACCTTTATCGTCAAACAAATTCAAATGTCTTGCTATTGAAATTATATACAGATGGTATTTCCATTACAAATCCGATAGGTCCTCACAGAGACTCGCACAAGCTCACTTGTTTTTATTATCTATTAGATGATCTACCTGAAGTAATTCGTTCACAAGTTAATTCCATTGGTTTACATTGTATATGTTATACAAAACATTTGAATAATGATAACAGTAGAACGATCTTAACCAACGTCCTTGTGGAGGATATTAATAAACTTCAAACTGATGGCATCACAATTCCTTGTCTTTCGAGCAGAATTTATTTCGTTTTTTCTTCCGTTTGTGGTGATAACTTAGCATCGAATGAAGTTGGTGGCTTTCAAAAATCTTTCAGTTCAGGAAGTTTCTGTCGACATTGTTTCATTACTTATGAACAAAAACATATTCCATTAACTGACATATCGTTCGTACCTCGCACTCGTCTAAAGCACGATTTTATTCTTAATCAAGTTATACTTAACAACGGTCGTCAAATCATTCAAGGTGTCAAAGGTCCTAGTTGGTTTAAAGATCTTATCGGTTTTCATCCAACAGAATCACTACCACCAGATGTAATGCATGATTTTTCCGAAGGTAATACTCTATGCAAAAATAAGAACTTTTTTGTGAGAATTAAATAGGGAAATTCAATGTTTATTTTTTTTTTTGAGGCGTATGTCCGCTTGTTATAAGTGTCTTATTGAAAGAAGCCATTCAACATCGTCTTCTGACTTATGCAGAAATTGAACAACGCACATCAAGTTTCAAGTATGGCTTTTATGATTCATCCAACAAACCTCCACCTATTAAAAAGCAACATATAGTATACTCGAATATTGTTGGTTCTGTTAGTCACAAATTATGCTTATTTCGGTTATTTCCGATAATATTCCATGATTTAATAGATGATCTTACTCTATTTCCTGTTTACATTATATTACGTGAGATTATCAGTTATATCTACGCCAATCCAATTAGAAAATCGTGGCTACCGTACTTAGATGGATTATGTAAACAATTTTATTCTCTAATGATCGAATTTTTACCTGACTATGTAACTCCAAAAGTGCACTTCATCACTGAATATCCACGATCTATTGAAATGCATGGACTTCCTATATTAAATTCCTGTATCCGCTTCGAATCTAAACATCTGTATTTTAAGCAACTCGCTATTCGATCATTCAACTTCAAGAATCCTTTACTTACCCTTTCAAAACGTCATCAATTGCGCCATTGTCTTTTGAATACATTACATTCGTCTTTTCCTTCTTCGTCAATAACAATTCGATCGTCTAAACCAATCGAATACTCTAAGCTCTCGCTTCCGCTGCGACGTTTATTAATCGATGATATTAAAGATACAGATTTAATATGTCAATGCGCATCTATCGATTATCATCATATTAATATCCGAACAAAATCTATAATGATTCATCATTTAATTCATACTGAAGAAGTTCCTGTATTTTGTGAAGTTCATTATATATTAAATATCGCCGACAAATTATTTGTTATTGCCGAAACATTAGATACTGTTTCCTTTAATGAGAAATTATGGGCTTACGAAATAGAATATACAGGAAAATTATGTATAATTAATATAGAGCATTGTCTTAAGATATATCCTCATTGTCTCGACATATATATTGTTGAACAAAAAAATTATATCAATGTTCTAACTCGTTTAACTGAACATTAAATTTTTTTCTCTGTTTTGCGCTGATCAAGAAGAAAGAAAACAATTTTTTAATTAGTTTGTCATATAGTAATGTATGTAGTTATTATGAAGCTAGTTTCTTTAAACTTAACTGAAATAACTATTTTTCTACTTTAGAAGAAGATATTGATGGCGCGACATTAGCTTTACTTCAACATAATGATCTCATTCAAATATTTCCTCGTGTAAAAGATCGTGTAAAATTTGTTGATCAACGTGCAAAATTAATTTTATATTATAATGATCAACAAGCAAACAAAGATGCAGCTACTCTTGGTGTATCTGATTCAACATTATCAGTGGTTCAAGTTTATGATGGATTAGAAAATAATGATATGTTAAATTCAGTAGATGCAAATGAAAATATAGTAATAAATAATCGTGCTTCAACAACAGATCTTGGTTCTTCATCAAGTTTACCTCTTAATGATGATGTAGATATTGATAATAAACCTACGTTACCAGATGATTATGAAGGACCAAATTTGACTAGTCGAATGGAAGAGTATATTGAACAAGAAAATCTATCAAAATTTAATCCGCATACAAGAACAAGAAGCGAAGTATTAACATTAATTTATGATCATGTGACAAAATCTTATGATTTATTGTAAGTTTTTATTTATAAATATTATTTTTATATTTTTATCTCTCCTCATTTAGGTATCCAAGCAATGATGACTACTTAAAAATGGCAAAATCGATCGTTAACAAACTCCACATTCCTCCAGCATTATCAAAAAATTCAATTGTAAGAAAAAAAACTTATAAATATATTAAATATTTGCTTTTATTTTAGAAAGACTGGCACGAATCAATTAAACAAAAGTTCAAACGTGAACGTAAACCTTTACAAATGAGTAATAATTTAGTTAAAAGTAAACAAGAAAAATATGGCAATGGTAAAACAAATGGAAGACCGAAAAAAAAAAGTACAATTCTACAAGCTGAACGTCGTCGTGTTGATATAGTAAGTTTTCATATGATTTTGAATGATATATCATGTCATTTGCTTGTAGCCATTGATTAATTTAGCTCATCGAGAAAATGAAAGTTTATTAGTCATGGTCAATCAGATGAACATGGAATTACTTAAAGATGATCCTAATAATGAATTACTTCATGATCTTTGGATACAATCCTTCAACATAAGACGTCTATGTATTCGTGAATTGGATATAGTCGAAATACTTGAACGTTTTCCCGGTTATCGTCGTTCAGAAATGGTAAATATAATCGATTGTACTTTTATAAAGGTTTTTTTGTAAAGTTGATCTGTAGAGAATTAGTTTGCCGCAAAAAGGAACTGATACTTTAATTCATAAATTTATTTGTCTATATCGCACAAATATAATAAATCTAGATAATATTTTTTTCAAAATACTGATGCAAGAGATATGTTATAATAAAAATATTGCTTTTGAGTTCACATGAAAACAGTTTATTTCGATAACAGAAAGTTTTTCATTAGAAATATCTCGTGAAGTCTAATAAAGCCTTACTTTAATGCGATAACATACTTGTTATAGTTTCTATTTAAAGTCAGTTGTTTTCCTCGATATTTTTGAAAAAATATTCCACTTTTACATATTTTTTCTATACATTAACACTATGATTCAAAGTTATAAACATTATATTTTTAATACAAAAGAGTAACTTCAATATATGGATGTTTTTTTAATAAGAAAAACCAGTAAAGATTACATGTTAAACTAATGTTTCTAACGATTTTTCTTCGACTTTTCATAGGTCATTTAAATACTTAATTAAATTCTACAAATTGTTTTTTAGATCTTGGCTGAAGTAAAAGAATCTACTGGTATTGATATTGAAGAAAACGTCAATGTTTTATTACCAAAATTTTTTGATCATATACCTGATAACAACTGTTTTTTATCTGGTAAGCTTCTGAAAAAAATTTACAGTAATTGAAAGAAAAAGAATTTTTATAAGTTAGCATGAACTTATATTTCTACATGTTT